TTATTTATCATCTCAAAAGAAACATCAGCCCTGTACAATGAAGAAATGCTTGAATTGAAGAGGAAAATTCAGGAGTTATTGATGTGAAAAATCCAGGTGTTATTATTATGTCGCCCCGAACGAAGTCGGGGACGACATATTGATATTGTACGCATGTTTTTTTTATCCAGGAGCTGTTTCTCGGAGATGGCTGGGGCAATCTTCCTGAAACTTTCCTCAAAGGACGATCACTGGTTGTAGTTGTGCAGTGAGGTCGTTCAGTTCCAACATGTCTACCGTTGCCATGGAAACCTGTAAAAAGCGACGAATTTTGTCCGAGAGTGTTCTCTCTGGTCCCTTAAACGTTCGTCATGAAACTCTTTTTATTTTAATGATTAGTATCTGTAGTTGTGCAACTCGCATTTAAAATTTTCAAATAATCGATTATTGCCATGGAAACCAGGGGAATGTTAAAATTCTTTAATTTCGATTTTCTCCATAACTACTCAAGCAATCGTTTTGAAACTTTCAATGTTAATTCCTTGCAATGTGTCAAAGTGATTTTTACTTTTAAAATAATTGTAATGAGTCGCTCACAGTTGTCATAGAAACGAAACAGAAAAAAAGGTTAAGATGCACACATGTCTTCTCCAAGGTCTAGTTCAAAGGGTCAAAGTTCTCCGTGTCCAATAAAAGTTCTTTTCACAAGGATTACATATTTGAAATACGAAAACCCTAGCACTTACCGTTCAAACGTATGGTAATATGTTCAAGACGACCCCCCCCCCCCCCCTTTTGAAGCGCACTGCCAGTTAGAATACACATATCTAACATATACAACTTACAAGTAACGTTTTAAAACTTTCATTCATAAAATTCAGTTCTCCTGATGCGATTTCATAGTTTGCCAACCTTCATTCTTCTTCTGTCTTGTCTCTAGATTTTATAATTATTTTATTTTATCTATATATAAAATAACGATTGTCAACTGCATTTATTAGCATTTCGCATTTTTTTTTTTTTGTATATCTATTACTTGTATATCATTAATTTCATTAGATAGTGCAAGTATAAATTAGAAAATTGGTACGTTATTTCCGTAGTTTTTATTCATTCATAAATCCTAGGATCCGCTCCTTACAGGTGCGCTAAGCCTTGATCACTACTGTAAACAAAACATTCATCTCGCCGAAAATGTTCACGATTCCGCTAAACTGAGAAAGTTTACACATGATTTATCATATCATAAGAAACATCAGCCCTGTACCACAGGCGCTTGACGTTTTCAACCTTTCTATTTATAAATAAAAATTTTCCATACTATAATAATAACCAAGGTGTCTCACGGAGCCATCTTGGATTTTTTCAGGTCAGCTACCTCGCCTCGATTTTTAGTCTACAGTATGTTTAAAATAAACAGATACAACCCTTTCCTTGGAGTACTTACCTTAACTATGCCTCAACTTTCGGGCAATCCAACTCAAACCACATTAAACCCTCTGTAATCTTTAAAATATCGCTTCATACTCAGTCTACTGCTACCGACTCGTTAAAATTTGGAAAAGGGAGGCCGGAAGTTTATGTTAGAACGTCATATTCCAGGAAAGCCTTTTTCTGATTGGTTGATTTCTTAAGAGTTATAAATATTAAACTTGCGGTAATATTTGAAATAGAAAACGAACTGTTTGTATCATGTAAATCTATAGCATGAAAAATAAAATACACACAAAATAATGGAGCTTGAACAGTTTTACTGGTATGTATCATATAAATACCTTAGTAATCAATCAAATTTAAGCAGAGGAAATTCTCATTTACATAATAACATCAACTTCCGGCCTCCCTTTTCTAAGTTTTTACCGAGTCGGTAGCAGTAGACTGAGTATGAAGCGATATTTTAAAGATTACAGAGGGTTTAATGTGGTTTGAGTTGGACGAAAGTTGAGGCATAGTTAAGGTAAGTACTCCAAGGAAAGGGTTGTATCTGTTTATTTTAAACATACTGTAGACTAAAAATCGAGGCGAGGTAGCTGACCTGAAAAAATCCAAGATGGCTCCGTGAGACACCTTGGTTATTATTATAGTAGGGAAAATTTTTATTTATAAATAGAAAGGTTGAAAACGTCAAGCGCCTGTGCCCTGTACAATGCAGAAATGCTCGAACTGAAGGGGAAAATTCAGGAGTTATTGATGTGAAAAATTCAGGAGTTATTATGTCGCCCCGAACGAAGTCGGGGACGACATATTGATATTGTACGCATGTTTTTTTTTATCCAGGCTGTTTCTCGGAGATGGCTGGGGCAATCTTCCTGAAACTTTCCTCAAAGGACGATCACTGGTTGTAGTTGTGCAGTGAGGTCGTTCAGTTCCAATATGTCAACCGTTGCCATGGAAACCTGTAAAAAACGACGAATTTTGTCCGAGAGTGTTCTCTCTGGTCTTTTAAACGTTCGTCATGAAACTCTTTTTATTTTAATGATTATTATCTGTAGTTGTGCGCCATGCATTTAAAATTTTCAAATAATTGATTATTGCCATGGAAACCAGGGGAATGTTAAAATTCTTTAATTTCTATTTTCTCAATAACTACTCAAGCAATCGTTTTGAAACTTTCAATGTTAATTCCTTGCAATGTGTCAAAGTGATTTTTACTTTTAAAATAATTGTAATGAGTCGCTCACAGTTGTCATAGAAACGTAACAGAAAAAAGGTTAAGATGTACACATGTGTTCTCCAAGGTCTAGGTCAAAGGGTCAAAGTTCTTCGTATCCAATAAAAGTTCTTTTCACAAGGATTACATATTTGAAATACGAAAGCACTAGTCTTTACCGTTCAAACGTAAGGTAATATGTTCAAGACGACCCCCCCCCTTTTGAAGCGCACTGCCAGTTAGAATACACATATCTAACATATACAACTTACAAGTAACGTTTTAAAAGTTTCATTCATAAAATTCAGTTCTCCTGATGTGATTTCATAGTTTGCCAACCTTCATTCTTCTTCTGTCTTGTCTCTAGATTTTATAATTATTTTATTTTATCTATATATTTATAAAATAACGATTGTCAACTGCATTTATTAGCATTTCGCATTTTTTTTTTTTGTATATCTATTACTTGTATATCATTAATTTCATTAGATAGTGCAAGTATAAATTAGAAAATTGGTACGTTATTTCCGTAGTTTTTATTCATTCATAAATCCTAGGATCCGCTCCTTACAGGTGCGCTAAGCCTTGATCACTACTGTAAACAAAACATTCATCTCGCCGAAAAAGTTTACGATTCCGCTAAACTGAGAAAGTTTACACATGATTTATCATATCATAAGAAATATCAGCCCTGTACAATGCAGAAATGCTCGAACTGAAGGGGAAAATTCAGGAGTTATTGATGTGAAAAATTCAGGAGTTATTATGTCGCCCCGAACGAAGTCGGGGACGACATATTGATATTGTACGCATGTTTTTTTTATCCAGGCTGTTTTTCGGAGATGGCTGGGACAATCTTCCTGAAACTTTCCTCAAAGGACGATCACTGGTTGTAGTTGTAATTTCTATATTCTCAATAACTACTCAAGCAATCAAGACGACCCCCCCCCCCCCGTTTTGAAGCGCACTGCCAGTTAGAATACACATATCTAACATATACAACTTACAAGTAACGTTTTAAAAGTTGGTACAAAGTTTCTGTACAATGCAGAAATGCTCGAATTGAAGGTGGCATGTCAGATTCGTTTTCCGGCAGAACCTCTAAAAATGAAAGTGAAATTTCATAGTTCTCACTGGCGTTATAATACACAAAATGATTCGGCTGATCTTCTTAAAAAATTACATTTGCCAAGCTTTATTGGTAGGAAAGATACTGCCAATTAACAAGTATGAGGCTCACTTCAGTACATCTGCCCAATTTCTCTTATGCAAGTCTGCAAATTAAGAACTTGTAATTTTTTTCTGCACAACTTTCTTCTCCTACCGATTCTAAAAATAAAATGGGATGTTCCTAATTAAGGTCTTCCGTTTCCAACAGAAAGGACTGATACGACTCGGTGGTTGTCCAAGCTTAGCTAATGGACCATTGTTTAAGTGATGATAAAAATGAAAGTCTTGTCCAGTACGGGGCGACATATGCTATTGCTTGCAATAGCAGACTTTCTAGTTATTATTATTTTTATTCTTTTTTCTTCTTACAAAATTTGTGCAGAAGATTTCTCGGAGATGGCTCGTTCGATTTGCTTCAAATTTTCAGTGTTGACGTGTGACATTTGAAGTTAATTCCGCGCAAATCGATTTTTTGGAAAAATCACTTCCGGTCGGAAGTTATCGCCCTTTGATCAAAATTTAGGTGACTCTTCATGTCTGTGATGGAACTCAAAAACGGTTCAAGCTAGAAAGCTGAAATTGTCAGGGATGGTAGAAGACATGTTGCCATATTGCACCTGGGTCAGGATATTTTCCGGAAGTGCCTAGTATGGAAGCTCGGTAGGGGTCAAAATTTAGGACACGAATCATGACTGATTTTTTGAGATGTTTTGCTTCATATCTTTTAAAGTATTAATATTTTGTTAAAACATACTGAACATCATTCGTGCATAACAACGAGATCTTTCATATAATAGCAAGAAAAAAGCGCTGACTCATCACATTAAGGGAAAAAAGGGGCCAGAAGTCTTTAATCGATAACTTTTTAGAAAACAATATTTTGGTATATTTTACTGAACAAAAAATGTTTAGCTTAACAATCTACAACTATATAACATGATATTTATGTCGTATGATACATAATTAGGGGCCACAAGGGGCCAGAATGCTAAATCTTTGATGCTTTATATCTCGAAAGGGAGATATATTTTGATAAGCAATAATGAACAAAAGATGTTCAAAATAATGTTCTGAACAATATGCAACCTTTCATTTTTTGATAAACGTCCCCATTAAGGAGTTAAAGGGTTGGCCCCTAAATATTTCTTTTGCTAATAGCTCAAAAACGAAAAAGAATTTCTGAATAGTTACTGAACGAAAAATGTTCAAAATCGTAAGATCTTTCAGATGAGATGAGATAATTATATCTTTTGCTTTTAGCTCAAAAACGAATAAGAATTTCTGAACAGTTGTTGAACAAAAACTGTTCAAAATCGTAAGATCTTTAAGATGAAACTCCGAAAAAGGGGCTGGGTACTCGAATTAGGGGCCAAGAGGGGCCCAAAGTCTTTATTGGATAACTCTTTAACAGTTAATATTTTGTAATACATTACTGAAGCAAAGATGTTTATCTCAACCGTCTACAACTATATGTTATGACTTTCATGTTGCATGGTATATAATTAGGGGCCACAAGGGGCCAGAATGCTAAATCTTTGATGCTTTATATCTCGAAAGGGAGAAATATTTTGATAAGCAATATTGAACAGAAGTTGTTCAAAATAATGTTCTAAACAATATGCAACCTTTCATTTTTCGATAAACATCCCCATTAAGGAGTTAAAGGGTTGGCCCCTTAATATTTCTTTTGCTAATAGCTCAAAAACGAAAAAGAACTTCTGAATAGTTTATTAACAAAAAATGTTCAAAATTTTCAGATCTTTAAGATGATATGAAAAAAGGGGTTGATTCCCAAAATAAGGGGCCGTGTGGGGCAAAATTCCAATTTTTTAAAGTCTTTCATGTTCAATGTCTTTTTACAGATTGTGGTAAATCATTATTTTAGAATGAAAATCGCAATCAAAATCTTATCTCATCTCAACTCGTTGCTCGCAAAATCATCTAGTTATTATTATTTTCTGTCATTTCTTTTTTTTCTGTGTAAGGTAACTTTCTATTGTTGCTTTGTTTATAAAAAAAAAAGCTTCAAACTGCATGAAATGTCATGTTTAATGCTAACAGAAGCAAATTAAATTTGCTTACCCTATATATAAAGAACTATTGAACTATTAAGGAAATTTGTTGTTGAGAAGAGCAGATTGATTAATATTTATTTTTTCACTTTTTTAAATAAGGAGGTTGAGTTATTGATACAAGAGAATGACCAACTCCAGAGGAAACTCCACAGCCAAGAAGAAGAGTTCCGACTCCAGAACCAGACTCTCATGCAGGAACTCTCCAGGGTAAGTGAACCAGACTCATGCAGGAACTCTCCAGGGTAAGTGAACCAGACTTCATGCAGGAACTCTCCAGGGTAAGTGAACCAGACTGTCATGCAGGAACTCTCCAGGGTAAGTGAACCAGACTGTCATGCAGGAACTCTCCACGGTGAGTGTAACAGAAAGGTCACTGAAATTAACCTGCCATTCAGTTACTGAATAACACTGAAATGTCACTGAAAGACGTCTTTCAGTTTTAATTGAAAGGTCTTGTTTCCTCCTGTGTGTACAGATAACACCAACATTTAGGAAATTTTTACAATAAGGGACCACTCATAAGATAGGACAGACATTTAGGAACCATCTTCGCTAGCCAAGGGTTTTCGGTCCACTGGGGAGCGGAGTGGACCGAAAGCCCTTGGCTAGTGAAGATGTTTAGGAACTTCCTATAGATTGTTTATTTTGATTAAAAAAAAATTGATAAACAGTGATTTAAAGGGCATTATAAAAATTCTTCTGTACTTAAATTAAAGCCCCCAAAATCCTATTATGTAATATTTTGGAAATTTTGTAAAATAAATATTCCAAATTCTCACAATTGTAAATAATAAACTTATAGACATTTGTATCCAAAACACTGTTGAAACCTTATAAGTTGCAAGAATGGACTCAGTGAACATGAAATATCACAAATTTTAAATATCTTCTGATATTTTTTTCCTTTGAAAATGAACTTTCCTTAACACCCTTTATATTATACAAAATACATAGATTGGAGACAGAGTGACTGATCCTCATATGAACACAAAACCATAAAAATGTAGAGTTGTGATAAATCTAACCACTTCACAGAATATACAGGATACTGCTTAGTGTTTATAAAGTACTTGATATCCATGATTCACTAGTGAAATCCCAGATGTTCTTTCCTTAACTATTTAATTTTATGTAAATAAATGAGATATAAAACGTTAAAAAAAGTCCTAAAAAAAAAAAAATGTAATAAAAAGCATTTGAAGTTGATATCATGCTCTGTGTTTTATTCTTTTTCCTTTAATTTTATTGAAGACATTTTTTTCATATTTCATTGAGTACAGGTTGTAGATGCCAATGAGACTTATGAGAAAGAAATAACAGCTTTGAAAGAGAACCGACCCCTAAAGGATTCTGGGAATCAGAATGACCTCGCTGAACTGGAGAGCCAGGTCAGAAGGTTACAGGCCGAAAATTCCGCTCTGCAGAAAAAATGTACAGGTAGGTCTGAAAATTCCGCTCTGCAGAAAAAATATACAGGTAGGTCTGCCATCAGATGGTGATTAACAGATGGGTATTTATTATACTCCCACTCTGATTGAGAGGGGGTACTGTAAACCAACATTAATTTGCATGCGAGAAGTTTTTGCGAAGCTGGGGAGAGCCTCATCATCGTGAATATTTCTGGCCGCGAACAGGTCCTTAAAGTCTCTGTGTCTATTGACAAAAGCCTTGATCATGAAAATTAATCGTTGTGAACTAGTTTACCAGTGGTAAATTGCGAAATAAAGTCCTCGCTAATAAAATTCTGTTAACAGTATTCTGTTTTACCCTCTTGTGTCTGGTTGTCTATGTGTCTGTGTAGTTGTCTGTAAAAATTTTTCATCACTTTTTTGTCAGCAATTTTTCAAAGGTAGATACTTGAAATTTTAGTGCATTCATTTGTTTAGGAATGCCAAATGGTTGCGTTAATTTTTGTACGAATTAGATGATAACTTCCTGTTTATCCCTACACCTGTCCATACCAAATTCCCATCAGAGCCGAGGATTTCTTGTGCGCATTGTCTCAATGACATCTTGTTTCTAACTTTTTCCTTAGATAACAGTTTCATGGAAAGAATAATTATCGTTGTGTACATTATCCTCCTTCTTACTAGAATTACTGTAAGAAATATAAAATTCCTTGCATTTAGCAAGTTAATTGGAATATACATGTAATAATGATAATTTTACAATATTTAGTGGATTCGGAAAACTTAAAAGGCAGTGATGAGGGAACTGAGACAACAGAAGACGTGCCTGATATTAACGGTAATACCCTTTGGTAACATAGATCTCTAATACATATCACCCTTAGGGATACTAATACATGTACATGTATACTCGAGTATAAACATTTTCAAGCTAGAGCACAATGTCTTGCTTACTTACACAAAAATGAAAAGTGTCCCAAATAAAAACTGATTTACAGTTTCAAAGAATTTTTCAGAACATGAATTGATTTGAATAGAAATTTCTGTAATTTTGGTCAGGTTCAACTCATTCAGAATTTAAATGAATCTTCTGTGAATCTTTGGAGATTGAAGCAAAGTAATAAGTGGAATATAAACTTTCTAATTTTCAAATATATTTTCATAAGATTTATTCTAACTTAATATATTTGGATTTTTTTAAAAATTAACTTAAATTTAAGTATATATATAGTTTCTTTTTGATTTGTAAAAAACGACTGTTTCTAGAACTAAGTCTGAGTCTGGCGACAGAAAAAGAAGAAAATAAACTTCTTCAGGAACAGTTATCAGCCATAGAGGTAAAGCTTACTATAGACTAATAGTGTACCAATTGAAAACATTTATGATAAAGGTCTGAGGTTCCTCAAACAAATTATGTACATCATTTCATGGTGTCTTGAAAATGGTGGAAAGAATTTCCTTATTTTAGACTTTATGGTTTTATTTAAATATTTAGAAATCATCAAAAGAAAAAATCCAAAATCTACAGGAAGAGGTGGAGAAAAGTGCAGACAAACTAAAGAAGAAACAGGAAAGGTAACTGTGTTATTGTAAAAATTATCTTCTTTTGTATGTCAAGAGAGGTAACTCTGTTCTATCTTATTCAAAAAACAGATCTACAAGAAAATACTGAAAAATTTGCCACTGTCATACACTGTATGCAGCTTCAAATATTTTCTAATGAGAATTACTTTATTTACATTTTAGTTACTTACAGTTACATGCAGAAAAAGAAAGTGTGTTTACCGAGTTGAGGTTAGAATTGTAAACTTATTTTAAAAGTTTTAAAGTATAAAAATAAAACTATACATGATTAAAAAAAATGTTAATTTAAAAATTAATAGCATATTTCTTAATGCAATATAATTTTTTTTCTCGGTGTAGAATTTTTACTTTATGGTATCTTGAATATAAGACATAGATTCTCAAAACAAAAATAAATTTTTATACCACCCGCAAACGAAGTTTGGGGGGGTATATAGGAATCACCTTGTCCGTCTGTCTGTCTAGCTGTCCGTCTGTCTGTGCAAACGTGTCCGGTCCATATCTTTCTTATGGAGGGACGTTAGAATCTACTACTCCACACAAAGATTGCCCATGACCTAAGGGTGTGTCATGACCTTGACCCAAGGTCATTTGGGGAAGGTCAAGGTCACCGGAAGAAAAAGTTCATAATTCGTGTCCGGTCCATATCTTTCTTATGGAGGGACGTTAGAATCTACTACTCCGCACAAAGATTGCCCATGACCTAAGGGTGTGTCATGACTTTGACCCAAGGTCATTTGGGGAAGGTCAAGGTCACTGGAAGAAAAAGTTCATAATTCGTGTCCGGACCATATCTTTCTTATAGATAAACTTGGTAGGTTCTCATTTCACACAAAGATTGCCCATGACCCAAGGGTGTGTCATGACTTTGACCCAAGGTCATTCGGGGAAGTTCAAGGTCACTGGAAGAAAAAGTTCATAATTCGTGTCCGGTCCATATCTTTCTTATGGATAAACTTGTTAGGTTCTCATTTCACACAAAGATTACCCATAACCCAAGGGTGTGTCGTGACCTTGACCCAAGGTCATTCGGGGAAGTTCAAGGTCACTGGAAGAAAAAGTTCATAATTCGTGTCCGGTCCACATCTTTCTTATGGATAATCTTGGTAGGTTCTCATTTCACGCAAAGATTG